TTTGCTAAATTCCGAAAGGATTGTCTCTCTCTCTCTCTTTGTGCAAGATATCCATTGTTTGAGAGTCGCTGATATTACGAACCGCGATACTCGCACGATGAAAGCCGCAGGCTACCATTTTGCGTTACGCTCTTGCGTCCATTCGTATTATTGTCCGTGACAGTGACAAATCATCGTTACGACGATTACGGGAACTCGAGTCGCCGGTCGTTTTCGAACTCGATGAACTTTTGCAAAAACTCTATCGATCGAAAGTCATCGCGATGATGGATATCGCGTGGACAGCTTGACGTTCATTCGTGTCTCGTTAAAAAGTTGTCATTCGCTTGTTAATAAACGTCCATTCGATCAGAGCCTTCTTCTTTCAAAATTCGAGAAAATTTTGTCGATGAAAGAAATTATAAGCGATATTTCTTCGATTATCGATAAAAAAGATCTATAGAGATCGCTTCTCGGAGCGTGTTGAAATTGTAGCTACTGCGAGACGGTATCCAATGAACGAGCGAAACTTTGCCAAAAGATAGAGGAAATGGAAAACGAACAAATAAACTGACGATCAAGGAACGCGATGCTAAAAGAAAAGAAGTTAATTCTTTCTAGAAACGAACGAAATGAATAATAAATCGGAAGCGAAATCGGAATCGGGAGGAGGGAATTGGAAGAAGGGAAGGAGGAAACAAAGCGACTCGCCATCCTCGACGAAACGAACGAAGGAAATACGTAGGATTTGAGAGGCTAAATTTCTCCGAGATGGGTCCCACGGGCAATCGTACCAGCGAATTAGATACAGTGAGATCGGGGAAAGCTAACGGGGCTGTAACGCCGCCTCTCGTCCTTCCAGATTTTCAAATATTCATTTTCTCATAGCGTGCTGCACCGGCTGCTCGTTGGGGGATGCAACGGATTACGGGGTAACGTGGCAACCCTCGTCGCTCGACTTACAGTCGACGACAGTCATGGGAATTCAGCCTATTAATCGAAGTTTGCGTGTCGAACCACGTGGCTTCGTCCGACTCGACGTCGATGTTTCAAATATGCTTGTTGGAATAGCGTCGGAAAGAAAATTTCAAACTCGAAGATCGAAAGTTCGAAACGATCGGGTGCAATTTTCTTCTATTTATACGTACCGCGTATATGTATTACAGATTGACGTACGAAATATTTTTCCTTATTTTGCACGAACGTATCGTCGAATGCGCGATGAAATCTGGGAGAGTACGCCGCGAGCGGCAAAACTTGCCAGCCAAAGTTAAAACACGCGGACCAACGTGGTCGCCGATCGATCGCGAAGTTGGCGTTCCAAATACGTCGA